CCTCACAGCCCTGTCTGCAGACTTTGTCCCTTTACACATGAGGGGCGCAGGAATGTTGTCAACCCTTAGTGTCACGGGCTCACCATCTCTCTGCCGGCACCTTCCCCAGCCCCCTGCGCTGCAGAGCAGGCTGAGCCCATGGGCAGGGAGGAGCGGGGCTGGGATGGGGTCTCTCCCTTTGGGGGCCAGGACAGTGGAGCCGAGGTGCCTCTGTACAGATCTGCAGCCTGACCTTGCTCAGGACTCAAGCTGAGAGGTGCCACCATCCCACCAGGCTCACCCAGCTGATGGCCCCTGTAGGTCCTGAGATGCTCACCCACTTGCAACCAGACCCATGACCCGCTCATGGGGTGCCCTGGGCTGTGCCAGCCTGAGTCCCGCTTTGCCCCCAGCCCTCATACCTGCTGTGCCCAAGCCGGTCAGGTGCCAGCAGCCGGGCACACGCTCTGCTCCCTCTAATTAATACCTGCCCGTGATCTTTGAGACACCGCTCCCTGCCTCCTGCCCTCCTTCCTGCCCTGCCAAGGAGCTCCCTGCTTCCCAGGACCCACCACAGTCCCCCAGTGCCCTATGGTGCTGGGTGCCCCAGCTGTGGCAGGACCTTGGCTGTCACTGCTGTCCCCCGGGCCATCCCATCCTGGGGACTGTCCTGGCCAGCCTCAGCCACTGGCCCACAGCTGTGCCCGGGGGCCACTGTGCCTCAGTGCCCATGCCAAGGAATAGGGCAGGGGTCTTCTTGCCGCTGGGCACATCCCGGTGCCAACCTCCTGCCCAGGGCTGCCAGGGCTCACCTCCCCAGGGCACTGCTCAGGGTCCTGCCATCGCCCTCCTGCGCCCCCAGCGCTCCCACGGGTGCGGCCCCGCTGCCCCACATCCCTCAGAAGGAGCTGTGCCCAGGGTGAGGAGGGGTACCCGCAGCCTCCAGCAGTGGCACCTGGGGTATTTTCCATGGGGTCCGGCGCCTGCTTACCTGCTGGAAACGGGTGTGCTGTGCCCTGTGGACTGCCCCGCTCTACCTCAGTGTGCAGATCCAGCTGTTATCTTGTTCCAAAGGTCCCCAGCA